GGAATACATCTTGGTTACAGCTAGCAAAAATCGAGTGTGGTAGAATCGGATTGTAACATTAAAAACGGGTATGGTGTAAGTGAAGGACTTTGATGACCTTTTCTTTGTGCATTGAAGTAATTTCAGTTTTGGCCTTTATGAAATTTGATCCTCATAGTACAAATAATAATACGCTATGTGGGTCTCACGAGTAGAGATGTGTTAGGATTTATTAGAATTGTATGCATCGTTAATGCCTCCAAGCTTGTTTTCTTTTGGGGACTCTTTGGATTTTCTCATGTGGGTCTTTGTACTATTATTCATCTTACACGTGTGAGTACTGTTTCTCTATAATCCATATACTTTTTTATGATTGTAACTCATTAGTAAAGGGATTAGCTTACACCACTTGTTGGATTTGAAATTGTTTCATTTTGACACTTAAGGGGGTGAGTAGTTGAGAAACTAAAGAAGAGAGAACTTGGATTGGTTTCTCTTGTAGATATGAATTCTTGAATATTTACTTATGTTTTAGTAAATAAGTCAATGAACTTTTTTATAACTCATATGCTTAAAACATAAATTTAGTAATGTTTTTAACCAAGTGATAGTGAACCAATAATTTCGCCTTATTGAAAATTTGTTCGGTTGGTGTAAGCCATAGATCGAATCTCTTCGATCGTGAGATTATTTCATCACTCCACTTAGCAATCCGCAAACGTATTAGCGGCATATTTATTTCTAGGGTTAATTTGGCAAATAACCAATAAAAAAATATATTTAAAATGGTGACTAAATACCCTAGATTTAAGGGATATGATTTAGCCACATGTGTTTGTTTTGGTTAGATTTTAAGATAATTTTTTTTTTTTGGTTATTTAGCTCAATTTCCCTTATTTCTAACCCTCATTATATAAAAGTAAAATTAGTAATGAATTTTTTTTGAATTTGTTGGTGTTGAATGAAAGGCTTAGCCAGAAAAGAAAAAATGTATGTCCCATGGCACCAAACTTTTTGCTTTACTTTGAATGCCTGCTTTTGTCAGGTATACTTCCCCATGGATTCATTTGTCTCTTACTCATAAGTCTCCCATGTGAGAAT